CTATGCTTGGTAATCAAGAAAAACATTAGACTGCTTTTAAGCATTTTATACTCAGCTTATTTTCTTGGGATATGTAAATTACATTATTTGGAAAGAGGTTGTTTTCTTGGTTATAGTATATTGAAATAATTTATTATCAGATTAAACTATTACTGTTCATCTGTACTTTAAAATGTTACATGTAGATTATAATAAGCATGGCAAAGAAGATACAAACTCAGGACTAAATTTTAACATAAAATTTTCCTGATTATAGAAAATTTGCAAAATATAGAACAATATAGAGAAGGAAGTAAGAAGCTCCATTATCCATTGTTATCATGTTTTTTAAAAAAGTATTTTTAGAGCAGTTTTAGGTTCTTATTCTTAGCAAATTGAGCAGAAGGAATAGAGCGTTTCCATATAACTCCTGCCCTACACATGCATATGTTCCTCCATTGTTCACATGCCATACCAGAGTGGTATATTTATTACAAATTAATGAACCTACATTTTCACATTGTTTTCACTCAAAGTCTGTTGCTTACATTAGTGTTCACTCTTCTGCTGTACATTCTATGGGTTTAGATAAATGTATAATGGCATGTATTTATCATTGTAGTATCATACAGAGTACTTTTACTGCCCTAACACCCTCTGTGCTCCACCCATTCATTCTTCCCAAACTATCCCCCACCCCTGGCAACCACTGATCCTTTCCTGTCTACATAGTTTTGTCATTTCCAGAATGTCGTGTAGTTAGAATCATACAGTCTTTCCCTTAGCAATATTCACTTAAGGATCCTCCATGTCTTTTCATGGGTAGATAGCACTTTCTTTTAAGGCTGAATAATAATGCATGACTTAAATTGTATATGTCAATTTCATAGGCAAATAGGAGCCTGAGTATAAAGTATAGTGTTCAAGGTGATTGAAGTGGAGTAAGTAGCTTTGTTAAGTATAGCCAGTACTATATTTCTAGTACCTGTAGCTTTGCTAAGAGATTGGATGGAAAATTTTACTAATTCTATGAATAACCAAAATTCTACCAACTGTTGATGAATTAGTTTTTTATTCATTCTCACTTTTATATTTTAGCCTTTTTTAATTCCCCAAAATTGATTGTAGTCATTTTAATTGTGAACTGCATGTCTGTAGTATAAGGCAAATATTTCTTTTTCTAAGCACACTAAATCATTTCATTCCAAATTCATACTCCTAGCATAACTTATCTATAATAATAAAAGCATAATATGCTAATTAGACTAGACTACCTCTGGTTGAAGCCGGGGCTGCGAGAGCCCAGCTCCTTGAACGAATTTCATGCACCGAGCCTCTAGTCTATAATAAGGATCTCAATGAAACACCAGCCAAGTAGTATTTTTTTATGACCTGCTATTCATTTAATTGTTAAAAAGATTTTCTTCTTATCCCTGTCTTATCTGATGCAATTATCCCTGCCCTCGAACATTTAACAGTTTAGTATCTAGTACACTATCCCGTATACTTTTCAGGTATCTATTTCTCTAAAACTGATGTTGAGACTATACAAAAAATGAATGTTTTAAGTGTGTTTAAAACAAAGGCTGGGTATTAGTATTATTTCATGGTTGCACAGACACATTTTTATACTGTTAATTTGGTTTTTAACTTCACTGTTCATGACAAAGAACTTTAAAAAGACAATGTTAGAAACAGATTTCTAATTTTCACACCTCCTTAGCACCAGGTTGTGCGCTCTGTTGAAAATTTGATCAGGCTGATCTAGTTTCACTACTAATAACTACTTCTCGTCCCGGAGCAGCCTCTCGGTGGCTGCCAAGTGTTCTTTGCTCCTTGTTAGCTAGCTGTGATCCAGCAAACTATTGGCATTTTATAGCTGAGGAGTCGCATTTGGACACTGACGTGTGTCGTTGGGCAACACTGGAATTATACAGTGAGTGGTTCAGGAATAAAAGAGGTATTTTTTTTAGTTCCAACAGGACTCTTAAAGACCCGAGGCTTCTCTGGTCACTGACATTGGGATTTAAGGACAGAAGATGGGGGGGATGGATTTTGGATGCAGGATTTTGGATACATGCGACTCACCAGTGCTAAATTGCAACAGCTATACAGAGTTTTTAAAAGACCCCTCTTCTAGCCCTCTACCATCTTTTTATTGTCTAGTCACTCACCTTGCAAGGAAATAAAGTGAAAGTAAGGTTAGTATCTTTTGAGAACTTGTTTTGTTAAAAATAACTAAAACAACAAAAATATATCACCCGCAACTAAATGGACTAGGTTATTTTTTTTAATCACCCTTTATATATAGGGATTAAGAATCAGTGTGAAGGAATTGTTTTGGTAGTATGCATGTTAAACAATATAGTTTTTTTTGTGAGATGCTGAATCTTAAGAATACTGAGAGGATGCTAATGCTTAAATAGGTTATCTAAAGGGGATATCTTATACTTCTCCTTTCAATGCTTGATTGGACGACACCAAAGGATTTATAAGTGCTTTATGCCTGATCTCAGAGAGTCATTCATTTATTAAAAAATATGTATTGGGTACTTACTATTTTAGGTGCTGTAGATACAGAAATAAACAAGAGAGATAAGGTGCATTAGAGCAGTTTAATTTCAAGAGAAATTAGGAAGAGCAGGTTTTGAAGTTATCTTACCCTGTCTTCCCTGCACTTTTGCACATACAGTGAATTAACAAATAGAATTTTAAATTACAAATGGGGATCCATTAGTTGGTGGGCTTCATATTTATTTGAATCCTTTTTCTTTCTTTTTTAAAATATATTTTTATTGATTTCAGAGAGAAAGGAAGAGGGAAAGAGAGATAGAAATGTCAATGATGAGAGAGAATCATTGATTGGCTGCCTCCTGCACACCCCATACTGGGGATCAAACCCACAACCTGGGGATGTGCCCTGACTGGGAATTGAACTGCGACCTCCTGGTTCATAGGTCAATGCTTAACCACTGAGCCACGCTAGCTGGGCATATTGGTTGGTTCTTGTATGTATCCTGACTGGGGGTGGAACCCGAAATGTTGGCGTATTGGAAGAATACTCTAATCCACTGAGCTACTAGGCCAGAGCCATTAACTTTTTTAAAGAAGTTACTAATGGCCCTGGCTGGTTTGGCTCAGTGGATAGAGCATCAGCCTGTGGACTGAAGGGTCCCAGGTTCAATTCTGGTCAAGGGCACATGTGCGGGTTGCAGGCTGGATCCAACTTCCAACTTCTCCAAGCTTGGGGGAGCATCCTTGTTGTTCAGACTTTGAGGCAGGCCTGGAAATCTGGTCTAGCCTGCACCACTGGTTTGGCTCTAGGTCCAAGATTTTACAAGCCACAAGGAATCACCTGAGGCTCTGTTTTTTCTTAGGCAGTAGGGTGATGCTGACACTGGTAGGCAATTATGAGGCTTCACAGTCTCTATGGGTGAAAAAATCCAAAATAATATGCTTTTTGAGAGGAAATTTGCCATCATGGTCAGTGACTCCTGTGATATGGTTAGGAGTGGTTAATGGAGGGACAGGATGTGTGGGATATGTGTGCTTGAGAATCACCACTAGGATTTGTTTGTTCGTTTGTTTGAAACTACAGGAATATTCTAATTTTTGTACCCCATATGAAATACTCTGGGGATGAGCCACACCTCCACAGGGAGATACCGCTGCCAGAAGGAGCATGATATAGTCCTCACATGTGTTAGGGGAGAGAAAGAGTTGAGTTCTAGGAAGTGAAATTCAACTTGAAGTTAGGAGATGTTTCTAAATGAAATACATGTCCACTGTCAATAACATGCTTTTCATCTACGAGTAACTTCAATAGATGTCTACTCTCCTATGCTGCGTAGTATAATTCTCAGAATAGTTCTCATTTTGAGTGTTTGGTAGTTTTGGAATGGGGAAAGAATCAATGGACAGAGCAACTAGATTTGTACAGCTTTTCTCTTTTTATGACAAATACATGATATGTTTGTATGATAATGAAGAAAATATTCATTTCTGCATGTGCTATCAATCTTTAACAATCAAAAATTCACTTGGCAAGAGAAGTGGTGTTGCTATACAGAATTGTGGTCATTGTTACATTGTTTTATTTACTGCAAACCTGGCTCAATATTGGTAAATACAGTGTAGCAGAGACTGAACTGTTGTGAGCTATCTGGGCACTGGTCCAAAATATCATTAAAAATACTGCCTCAGACTAATTTGGGTTTATGAATAATATTTTGTTTACAGCTCAACTGAAATTGAGCCACATGGTGTAGCTTAAAAATTCTGAATCCACAAGATAATGAGAGTACTATATATACTGCATACTTAATATTCTGTACTTGAGTGATAAATTTATATGTAATTTTGAGTTAACTTTTAAACTATAAGCATCCAAATGCTTAATATGATCTGATATCTTTAAAGTTTACTTAATACTGTGGTTTACTGTTAAATTGAATGGCTTATAAAGTAAAATATTGCTGGTTTAAAAATCAAAACTAAAGAATAGAGGTTGCAGAACAGGCATTAAAATGGACATTCAACACCTGTTTTGGCATATGGATGTGCAAACAGCTGAAGTTTACATTACACTCACCCCCCAAAAAAATGGAAGGACATAAAGTTGTTGGAAAGGTCCAATGAATTAATTCATTTATTTTACTAATGAAAGATTATAATTGTATCTTAAAATAAGTTATAATGATTATTAATGTTTGGTTATAAATTATTAATTATATAAGGTATAAGAAAGGGGATGAGGTTATGGTGAGATGTTACAAGACACAATTTATATTTAGTCATTTCTTGCCAAGAAAGGATGTATTTGTATTTTTATTTGTTTGCTACTTTAATTAGTTTAAGTTCTTTCTGAACATATAATATCTAAACTCCCATGGAAAGGATATGGGAAGATTTGTGTCACTATTAAGTGTGTAAAATATTTTTGTAATATGAAGGTGTGTAATTATTTAAGGAATTAATTTTAAATACTCCTCTTCTCAATAAATATTTTATTCATTTTCCAGGTTAGCACTCTACGTATATGAATATCTGCTCCATGTAGGAGCTCAGAAATCGGCCCAAACATTTTTATCAGAGGTATGTTTTGTGTGTTTTCTGCACTGTATTTTGATATCTTATGTAAGCAAGTGAAAAATACACTGTAACAATTATTTGAAAGAAATTAATCCTTATATATTATATAATAAGTGTGCAGTTATCAGTATGGATAATGTAGTCTTTGTAGATTATTTGTAAAAAGTTTTAGTATCCCCAAATGCCATTTTCATACCTATTCAATTATCCAGCCATTTTCTGCCTTAGAAATTGAAACTAATATTTGCCTTGGCAAAAATAATCAAGAAAGCAAATTTGCTTTAAAAAAAAGGCAAACACCACCATGTCTCTAGTTCTAGTAATATTTTATTTTGGCATTATTCACAATTTTGAAAAATATGTTTTTTGTTTGTTTTAATTTTGTATGGATAATAGTGGATTGATGGCTAGATTTCAGTTAGAAAACAGTTGATAATATTATTTCAAGTTCTTGTTTCTCTTTCTATTTTTCTCCACTTTTTTTAAACATTGAATTTGAGTTTTCTTGCAATGGTACTTTTCCTTTTCAGTTTATATAATGATGAGATTGAGGAAGATTTTATTTAGTTTTTTTTTTGTGTGTGTGTGTGTGTGTGGTTTTTTTTTTTATGTGCAAGGCACTTTACATATATTATCTCTGATTCTTATAAGAAATTTGCAAAGTAAATGATATGATTCCTGTTTTACTAATGAGAACAACAGGGACCAGAGCGTTTATATAACTGGCTCATGGTCACACAGCTCAGTGTGTTGTGGAACTAGAATTCAAACCTAGGTCTATGTCAGTGTCAAAGCTTCTGGTTTCCCCTAGTGTCTGCATTGTCTAGTATGCTAGCCACTAGCCATATATGCCTTTTTGAGCTCTTGAAATAGGACTAATCCAATTAAGAAGTGCTATAAGTGTGAACAAAAGAAAATAAAATATCAGTAATTTAAAAATTTTGATCATACATTGAAATGGTAATATTTTGGATATATTGGGTAAAATAAAAAATTTGTTATTAAAGTTTATTTTACCCTTTTTTCTTATTTAATATGGTTAGTAGAAAATTTAAAATGACATATACAGCTCTCATTTGTGGCTCATGTTTATTTTCTGTGGGACAGTGCTGCTCAGAATCATGTTGTCTCTAGTGATCTCACAGTTTGTCCCACCAGATCAGGGACACAACAGGCAACCCCTTCAGAGTGTCCCATCTGAGGTACAGTCTTCTTGAGATTCACTTGTTCTCCAAACAAACGCACAAGCAAACAAACACACATAGCCCTGCAATCTTGTATCTAATTAATTAGTATATATGAACTATGAGGGCCTCTTTGCAATTAAGAAATTTAAGAAGTTTGCTCACAGCATATAAGAAGTCAATTGTTTTACCATAGAAGGAATACATTCAGTGTAATAAAACATTGATTTCAAAGTTAATTCAAATCAAAACAGAAGTTTAGTGTGTCTTTATCTTATTAAATTATTAAATAGGAGACTTTGAGCCCAGCCAGTATGGCTCAGTGGTTGAGCGTCCACCTATGAACCAGGAGGTCACGGTTCAATTCCTGGTCTGGGTATATGCCCGGATTGTGGGCTTAGTCCCAGTGTGAGGAGTACAAGAGGCAGCTGATCAATGATTCTCTCTCATCATTGATGTTTCTATCTCTCTCTCCCTCTCCCTTCCTCTCTGAAATCAATAAAAATATATTTTAAAAAAAGATCATTGTAATAACAGTTTAAAGTTGTGCCAAGGTTTAATGAGTTAGTACATATAAAGTGCTTAGAAGGGCTAGCATGTACTAAGTTTGCATGGTGTTATTTTTTAAATTCTTGGCCAATTCTTTTCTACCTAGTGTAGTTTTTTGTGTGTGGTCCAAGTGTCTGTCATTTGGACAGCCCACATTCCTCCTACCTTCTGGGGTTACCTCTTCTATCAACATGGCTCCAGCTCTAATCCCTACTATTATGGGCTGTCTCAACCCCTCTCTAATGTTTTGGGGCCTTGCCCAGGGGGAGGGGCTTTGGGTTCTCTTGCTATAATTTCTTGCTCCTACTAAGTACTACTTCCCCCCTGCCTCTCTTTCTTATGGCTGATAACTTTTCTTTGCCTGAAGTTTTCTATTTCCTTACAGCCTCAACGCTCCACTAACTCATTGCTCTTATGTATGAAAGATTCTTACTGAAGGTTGGAAGAAATTGAATATTAAGCATTGTACAGTACAGACAGCAACATTAACTAAAATATTAGACATAATTATCCTTAAGTTCTTTGGTTTCCTAGCTGTTTGCCTGAGGGCTCTGTTTGCCTTCCATCTTGTTGGCTCTTCAAAACCTCTCCCATTTTCTCCTTTCTTTAATCCACTCCCCACCCCCCAACTTCTTCCTGAGAGACAATTAGCAATCTCCTACATTCTTGTTATTTTATTATGTAGAATATTAAGTATTTGTTCTCTACTTTCAAACCATTCCTAGGGGGCTTCTGCCTCTCTGGGCCAAAAAATAAAAACAAAAATTGAAAGAATTTATCAAGGAGCTTTTCCAATAAAATGTACTTCTCTTTAAGAGGACTTTTACTTCCTTCTAAAGTAAAAGAGCACTACTCAATAATACAAATTTATATGATTATGGAAATGATCTCTAATCTGTGCTGCCTAGTAAGTTTTCTGCTAGTCACATGTGACTATTGAGCATTTGAAAAGTGGCCCCTGCAATTGAGGAATAGTCAATTAACTTAATTTTAAATTTAAAAAGCCACATCGTGGTCACTGAGTACCATGTTAAACAGCACAGTTTTGGACTACTTGCTTCAGAGTAGAGACAGAGTTTTCTTCCTGTTATATATCTATTTATTTTAATTTTTTGAATTAAAATGCAAAAAATTTAATTTTTTTTCATTTAGTTTAGTGTATAGATGCACTCATACTTCTATACATGAAAGTTTTTAGAAAATGGGTGGGAACAGCAGGTTAGATCTAAATTAGAAGTCTCAGGAATTTTGTCTAGGAACAAATGTATACATAGGTATACAGGCTCTTAGCACAGGAACTAGCTTTATCCTCTTAGACTATTAATTTTTTTATTCTAAAAAATATGAAAGGACTTAGGAATACTCTGAGAATTTGGGTCCTGTGTGTTTCAAACTTGCTGCTGTGCTGTTGGCGATGCTGTTGGAAGGGGTCTAGACCATCCTAAGAGGTCCCACATTGACAAGAGCAGAACCTCCAGAAAGGTGCTGCTGGCCTCCAGAAGTGCCCACCCTGCTGCTGCTGCTGCTGCTGCCACAGCCAGCAACTGCTTCATTTGGGGAGCCAGGGGCAGGAAGCGTCTCTTCTTCCTCCTGCCTTTTGATCCCCTGCAAGTGTCTCCTGATGGCAGAACCTAACAGGAAACCAGCTGGCAAGAAGCCCAGGAAATGTAATTTTCAGAATCCCAGCACCAGTGTAGAATGGAGCAGAGAAGGGCGGGTGTGGGGCTGAGAGGTAATAGGTAAATGACCAGTGTACCTTGCTGGAAGCAAACAAGGATAAAAAGTTAAGGAGATGTGTGTGTATATGCTCATGTGTGTGCACCTGTATGTTATCATTTTTTTCTTTGTTTACACAAATGTTTGTTTATTTCAAAACCGTTCTGTGCTTTGATTTTTGTTTCACTTGTTTGATTTTAGTCATTTTATGTTGGCTTGTGAAACTTCATAATTGTCTTTTTATGATTATAGGGTATTATTCTATGAAATGTGCCATGATGTATTTCACCAGCCCTCTACTTATGGACATTTAGGTTATTTCCAGTCTTTTGTAATTACAGACAATGTGTGTGTGTGTGTGTGTGTGTGTGTGTGTGTGTGTGTGTGTATTTACACAAATGACCATATACTATATAGGACAAATTACTAGAAAAAGAATTGCTGTATCAGATAGTATATACATTTGTGATTTGTAATTATTATTTATAAAGCACATTGCATGTCTTATCTCTGCCCATATGATTCAGTGTTTGGTTTTGCATTTATATAGAAATGTTAAAAAGACTAGCTTATATGATACAGACATAGCTTAATCAGAGATGAGACCTTCAAATCAGAATATGGCAGTGGGAATGGGCTTAGAGATTTACCTGCAAGTTACAGGAGAATACAGCTTTTAGCTAGGCAAATATGAAAGGAAGACAAGTGGATGATTAAATAGAAAAAAAAAAGAAAGAAAGAAAAGAAAAGAAAAAGCCCTAGGATACTTTGAGGCTGGGATTTGAGAGAAATTGATAGCTGCCACTCAAACGCTTAAATAAGCCTGAGGCCCATGAAACTCAGTACCACAGACAATGCCTCTTCATAAATAGCAGAATTGCTTCTAAAATGACTATTGATATTTAGAGGTATTTTCTGGCCATTCCTCAACCCCATCCACATTAATGCATCTTAGCTAAAAAAAATTAAACTATATAGGTGGATATGATTTTAAAGTGAAGGTCCTTCTTTATTCTTTTCTAGAAATCGTAGTTGTAAGTTTGGTATGATTTATTTAATTTGAATACACCCAATGCACTCATATATATGCACACTTTTTTAAAAAACAGAAAAGTTTTTATACTATGTATATTTTTCTCCAACCTTTCAAACTTCCAACTTAAAAACCAATATAGCAGAATCCTTTTTCTATGTAGATATATTTTATTCTTTTTAATGATTGCACACTGTTGTATAGTATGTAAGTATCAAAATTTATTTATATTCACTGTTGGTGAATATTTTTCAGGTTTGGTTTTTTCTAACAGTGCTCACTCAGTGAATGTGCCTTGGTTTTCTATAGATAAGGGTTCTGTGTTCCTGACTATGATTTCATGCTTTCCCTAAATAAGTAATACCTAGAGTATTAATTAGTTTAGAGACCAAAAACAAACAAAAACAAACAAAACCCATTCACTATAGAAACATATTCCTATGAAGAATCCTCTCCTTTGGAAATACCTAAAGCATTTATTGTTTATTCATTAACTATAAAAGGATAGCTTCTATATTAAATTTAATATGATGGACAAAAGTTTTAGCTGCTTCTGCCACAGCTTTGCAATTCAAAGTGAGAAAGATGAACTTCACTCACTCTGTAGTAAAGGATATTATGAGGATGAAAACATGATGTATGTAAAGCATTTGGAGTTTCTCTGAGGAATAGTAAGATGTAATACTGTTTAAAATACAAATGCATTCCCTTTAGACTTTCTCTGATAAAGACCATATCAAACCTAAACCAGATAGGTATTTTCCTAGAGTACTTTATGTCCTGAAGAAGCTGGTGAGTGACTGTGGGCATTGTGTAAGTGCAGGAGGGAGATGTGTTGTAGTGGGGCTCAGACTGAGTCTAAGCCCACCTCCAGCACAGTGTGGCAATGGGACCTAGTCTTGCCACCTTAACTCTTCCATAAGTCACCTCACAGTCTCCTTATAACTGAGGATAGTACCGTCTACTTTAACAGTCATAATATGTAAAGTCAAGATGAACTGAGATGAAATGTAAAGACGCCACTTTGAAAAACTTGTTTTTTATGTGATTAGGACGATTCGAGGGATTAGGACTATTAGTGTGTCTGGGGCACATCTGTAAGGTCCATTATTATACCTTTTCAAGAAGACACCAACTAGTGCAAAAATGGTTAGAGAAAAAAGTGAAAGATGAGATACAGGCTTTTGATTCAATTACAACTTTAGTAGTCCATAAGAGTTGTGCTCCTCATAAGACTCATTAAGTACTATTTCTTATTTTTTCATGAGCCAAGGAGATGTATTATGGATCAGTGGAAATTATCAGATAAAAAGTAGCATAAATATAAAAATTATTTGTTACTACTTAGGAGAATGAAAGGATTTGGCTTACATTTATATAACGTTCTGATTCATTATTCTTATTTAGTCTTTATAAACTCACGTTCATGAATTCCTAGAATTCCTCCTTTTAGCTCTTTTTTAAAAATGGCTATCACATGTATAATTTTCTAATCTTTAGAAATTTTCTCTTTGTGTATTTGAGAGGAAATTATTTGTCTACTTTAAGGTTCCCATCGGTTTACATTTTGCATTCTTAAGAACTCTAAAAAATGCAGCCAGTTTCAGTTATTTTAATTGCTTTTAAGTTTTTCCATCTCTTCCTTAGAGAGTTCTTTTCCTTCTCCACCCCCACTCGCCCCCCCTTTTTTTTATATTTAGGCCCCCCTTCTGAGTTCCTATCCTAAAACTTTTAAAAAAATCCCTTTGGGATAAGAAGTCCTAATATCTTCCATAGTAGGTGGTAGAAAGGAATCCTTAAATGTATAATTATAGTTGTTTACTTCCTAGTAATGTTAAGGGCCTATGGACATATTTTGTTATTTGGGGTGTTGTTAAATAATTTTTAGTTATTTAAACTAAAAAACTAAGGCAAATACATAAGACTGTGTTTGAGTTTGGATCAACTTTATTAAAATTATAAGTCACTTCTTTACTGTTTTCCTGCTCTCTTTATCCTCCCTTCACTGCTTTGTTTTCTTTCATAACATTTGTCACCTTCTACTTCTAATATAAGTACAATCTTTTTCGGGGGGAGGGATTCTTTGTTTATGGTCTGTCTTCTTCACTGAAGTGTAAACTCTCTGAATGCAAAGATTTTTACCTTTTGTGTTTACTGATATCCAATGCTTAGAAAAGCCACTGTATAAATACCCGCCCTGCTTTCCAATTTCTAAATTTAATTTGAAAACAATATTTAGGACTTTTAATTTTGGGGGCATATTGCCATAGTTCTAAATTTATATTATAGTGGATTTCAACTCACCTGAGTATAAGCAATTGGAAAGCTAATATCAGCATTTTTGTAAAAACTCTTATTTTGCGGAAGCCATATGCCTTCTTACTCAAAAATTCAATCCTTAAGGCATAATTTAGAGTCTGTACATATTAAGCCCAGTCTCTTGGAAATTTCTGGGCTAGTGGTGATAACTGATATTCATATTGGTAGTTACTTTGGTTTTGATGTGCCTTAACATGCTGAAGTACCTTAAGATCCTGAAATACCTTCTGGAATTCTGGCACAGTGGGGTGCAAATTCAGGAAAATAATGGTGGCATCTTCTTTCACAGACTATGCAGTCAACAAATTATTACATAAAATTAGTACTTGTAAAACTTGAGTAAAGAATAATATGAACATGATTAAAATCTTATATATTACCTTAATATTTTAAATGGAAAAATCCTGCTTTGTAATAGGTGTGGGGAAAGTGTTAGTTGAAAAGCATTTAATATCTTTTTTATTCATTTTAGATAAGATGGGAAAAAAACATCACGTTGGGGGAGCCACCAGGATTCTTACATTCTTGGTGGTGGTAAGTATCTTTATTTCATTTTTACCAGATTGATGATACATTTCAAGATGCCTACACTATAGCTGTTTAGGATTCCATGCTTCTCTTTTATTCTTTTTCATTTTTTATAATTATTTCTGAAAGATAGCATCTAAAAAAACACACCAAACTCAAAACCAGCGTTAGTGTTACTTAACTTAAAGATATTACTATTGAATCAAGCTGGAATTGGGACCAGTATGTGGAATCTCCAACTGTAAGTATGATTCTGCATTAGTCAGCTTTGGCTGCCATAACAAAATACCATAAACTGGAGGGCTTAAACAACTGGAATTTATTTTCTCACAATTCTGGAGGCTAGAAGTCCAAGATCAAGCTGCTAGTATGGTCTGTTTCTGGTGAGAAATCTCTTCCTGGCTTGTAGATGGCTGCCTTCTTACGTGTTCTCATGTACTATAGAGGAGTATGGGGAACATGTTGGTGCTACCTATCTAGCTATCTGGTATCTCTTTTAATAATGGCTCTAATTCCATCATGAGGGCCCCATCCTCATGACCTCATTTAAACCTGAAGATACTGATGGTGGTGGTGGTGATGGTGAATTTTGAGGAGAGGGAAGGGTAGTAAAAAAAAAATTGAAGATAATTCTATGTAGACTCAGAGATAAAGAACTGACCAGGAACACACACAAAAATTGTCAGGCTGTATTGAAGGCCCAGTTGATATCAGAACTTACAAATTTCATTGCAGCACCTGTTTACTTAGATATGACTTTTCTGCAACAGCAATCAGTAGGTACTGCAGGTATTTGCATGAACTAGCTAGGCTTTTTTTTTTTCATTTCTTCAATTAGAAGCATTTCCTGTTCAGTATCTTCTATGCTCATCTTAGCAGCGTATTTAAAAGAAGAAACTAGAGATCTCTTCTAGTGCTTTGCACATGGTTTCCTTGGTACGTTATTAAATGCCATCATCTTTTTAATCTCTCTCCTGAAAACATGCCTTACTAGAAGTTCCGTAGTGAATGGAACCGCACTTGGTCAGTTGTGGTTGTGGGTTTCCCTTGTTTGTCTCACATGTGTGTGGCAGGAACAGGTGCAGTCCTTTGGTTCAGAGCTGTTCCTGTATTTGGAACAACGGTTCATTGCAGTTAAGCACTATCATTGTGCTGCTTTCGTGGGTCATGAGACCAATGTCTTGTAATATATAATATTGTAAAAGTCCACTTTTCATTTTATATAATATGTATTTATAATTCCTAAATCTAGACTGTAAATACTTAACTGTTTGTTGAATGTAATTGAGTCTCTTCACCTGTTGACACCCTTGCCTTTTGAATGTTTCCAACGAGGTCTACAAAGTGGCATGCGAAACCATTTAGAAGTCTGCCCCTATTGGATTAGTGGGCTAACAAAGTGAGGTTTTTCATTATAGGATTAATTCTATTTTTGCACCAATTTCCCTTTTACTCCCTTTCTCATGAATTTAACCTATTCTCACACTATAGATGGTTGATAGTAACTCACTGAATCCTCCGGCTTTTTGCTTCTGTCAGACTTTAGCTTTTTTGGTCTTAGCTATCAGGAGGTGCAGCCCTGAAATACAATCAATAGCATTGTAAGTGAGATATGTGCTGCTTATAATAGCAGTGCAGGAGGAATACCCATGTTAGCTAAGGAGAACTAGAAAAGCCTGAACAGAGAAAGTGGATCTGAGTTGAGCTGAAAGCTGGTGAAAGAAGGGTATTTTGGCAGAGGAATAGTTAGTATGAAGTCTTGAAAGGGATGATCATGCATTCAAGGAATGACTGGTAGCTTGGACCAGTTGAATTGTAGGTACACTACTATGAACTGATAGAATATAAGGCTAGAGACAAAGGCAGGAGCAAGATTACAAAGTCCAGGAGTACATCAAGGGTTTTGGAATAAAGCTCAAATATTTTAAACAAGGTACATAACATGATTAGATTTGCACTTTTAGACACTCACTTGGCATCAACGTAGAGATGGATTAAGAGGGTTGAGAACAGAGGTAGACTCTAGTTTACAGGCAATTGTCCAGTTGAGAGGTGATTAGGTGATGGATCCCAGATAGTGAACGCTGAGTGCAATAGTTAGAGGTGAAGGAGGAGGTCCGCAGGTTCTAGATTTGGATGGTGGAATGAACAGTGATGCCATTGACTGAATGCGGAATATAGAGAGAGGAATAGGGTTTAGAAAAGACCACGATTTAAGTGGGAGAGGCTAAATTTTGAGGTTCATGTGAGAAATTCTGATCGAGATGCCCTATACAAAGTCAGAGATCTGGGTCTGTGGCTCTGAGACAGGTCCCTAATGGCTTGAGAATGATCAACAGTGACCATACTGAAACTGCCCAGTGTAAAACATAAGAGTAGGGTCTGGGGTTGGAACCCCGGGGAAAGTCAACATTTTAGTGTGGATGGATGAAGAGGATCCTCAAAGGAAAATAATTGGAGAGGAAGGAGGGTAATCAGGAGAGAAAAATGTATGGGAACCAGGAAAGGCATTAGAAGGAAAGATTAAATTCTGCAGTAAGTGTAAGTAAACAGACCCAAAGATGTTTTGGAATCGGAAGTAAGGTGAATGCGGCAGTCTTGGGAGAGCAGTTTCAGTGGAACGGTGAAAGTGAAATTAAGAAGGCTGCTGTAATGCACTTGTCGACTTCGAGAGTTGCTGAGAGTAGCTGAAGTGTGTGGTGGCATGTGTAGCTGTTTTAGGATTAACAATAGAACATGACCTAACACTTTAGATTTTAAAATAGAATAGCTTTGAGCATGTATATAGATTGCGGGAACAGGGGGAGAGGTTGAAGATGTGTAAAGAGAAATACACATGCACAAAAATGCAGAATAAAATACAGGAGAGAAGAGAGGCAAAGGCTTTGGAGAGGAGGAAGGGACAGAGTGTGTGTTTTCACTTTCTGGGACTGTTTTTTGTTTCTGATGTGATTTCCATTATCACTGTTTTTTTTCTTCCTCAGTTTGCACAATGCCCATTGCTATACTATTTCCCATGCCTCCCATGTTCGTTACCTTTACCTTGGTCAAATCCCCTTTGAAAACTTACTTCTTGTTTGTACACTTTAATAAAAGCTTCCAACTCTTTAATGAATTTCTGAAAAAGAAATGCCAAGAAACTTCCCCTTTCCAATTTATGTAACTTAAAAATATACACTTTCAAAAACTTTGTTTTTAAAGGTTTAATGGCTTAAATTGTGTCTCATTTAATTATAGATATAAAACACCTTTTGAAATAACGTTGGGCCAATGTATCTATATCCTGAAATTAAATATATTACATTGCAGAGAAAATAAACTAATAACTAAGATTATTATGAGAATTCAGTCTTTTCACCTGGCTACAGGAGGTCACATCTTGCAGTATGTTAGCACTCTTAATGATTACAGAATCTAGTGGATGACATCAGGAATAGCTAAGAATAACCAAATACCCATATAAAAACAACCGCATTTAAATTAGTCAACTGTCTCACTGGAATGGTGTAACATTTATAATTGTCAGCTGGTTCTTACTCATCTTGTATATGTGGCTTGTAATAGGTATCACATAGCTAATTATTTATTTGAATTAAGTTAAACTAAGAGGCAATATAAGACAATGTAGGTGACAGCTAGGATATAAGGGGTTGAGTCATGATGAGATGGGAATAAAAAAGTGGTAGCAAGAGAGAAAGCAAAGAACAGAGGATGGTCAGCCTATAGAAGAAAAGCAAAATGTGTCTGGGAAAGAAATGTGGAATACAGAGCAAAATGTGCTGGGGAGAAGACAGTATAAAAAAACTGATGGAATCTTTACTAAATGCAAAGGATTAAAAAGGAAATTGAGGAAAATTTTACTCAGTTAATAAGAAACTTTTCCCCTAGCCATTCCATATAATAAAAGGGTAATATGCAAATTGATCGAACTGCGGAATGACCAGTCACACACTCAACGCAGGAGCTGCCCCCTGGTGGTCAGTCTGCTCCCACAGGGGAGCACCGCTCAGCCACAGCTGGGCTGACGGCTGGCGCAGCAGCGGTGGCAGGAGCCACTGCTGCCTCTGCAGCAGTGCTAAGGATGTCCGACTGCCTGCTTAAGCCGTCAGTCGGACATCCCCCAAGGGCTCCCAGACTGCAAAAGGGCTCAGGCCGGGCTGAGGGACCCCCTGTCCCCCCCAAGTGCACGAATGTCATGCACCAGGCCTCTAGTACTACCTATAAAATTACTTTTGCATATACCATTTCTTTGTATCTATATAAAAACCTGTAAAATGCATAACATATTTACCTCTTTTTACATAAAGAAACTAAGATACAAAACTATTTCCTCAGGGTCAGATTCAGAATTAGAACTTCAGCCAGTGCTTGTCTCTGCAAAAGATATTATTTCTTAAACACAGAACAGAATTTAGTGCCCACTATTAATAAGAAATCAATTACAGTTCCCTTTTGAGCATCATGAGTGACTAATTCCAGACAGTAGATATAAATGCGACTCAGGAAAGTTGTCTCTTCTAAGTCTAGTCTATACTGGGGCATCCATGGATCACTGGCAGCTACTGATAGTATGAAGGGATGGTTGCCATAGGATACTCAGGAAATGAGTTCGAGTGCAAGGGTCAAAGGTAGGGTAACAGAGTTCTTGCTGTCTTATCTAGGACAGGTACCTACCACATTTTCATGAGAACTGATGCTGCTCAGGCTGCCAGAGCTTTATAAACCTGCCCATAATCAGCATAAGGCATCTTGAAATAAGAACTCTTAATACCGTATTCACATGAGAGGCAAAATAATGTAAGAATTAAAAAGTTTAAACAAAGCTCTGCCACTAACTGTGACCCTTCAGCAAGTGATTTAGCCTCCCTAAGCCTCAGTTTCCTCATCTATAAAATGGAAATAATAATGGGCGGATTAAATGCTGAATATGTAATACTTAGTATATGATGCTTGAATTTAGCACATACTTATTAATATAAGCTATTTTGATACTTTAAAATATGAATTTATTACTAACCCAGAAGTATTTTGAGAATTTTGTGATAGTGGGACAAAATGTAATGCTTGCATTTAAATGTATTAAGTAGTGCTAAGGAATAAGACAAGTACATGTACGTGGAAGTTCTAAGGTGATGAGCAGGTACATGTACATCATGTAAAACCCTCCTTAATCTTAGGAATGGATCATTTTCTTCATTCATTGATAATATAATTTTGGGCCAAAGAGAAATAATTTCTTTAGTTATTAAGACTTGAATTTATAGTAACATGGCTTGTTCCTCAGGAAAAAAAAATGTTTTCCCCAAAGGTTTTTCTACTTCTTTCAGTGTTTATTTTCAGATAGTCCTGAATCTGGCCAGTGGCATATAGGTTATATAACTATGTTAGCATCCCATCTTCTGGGACACATCTGGTATGTTTATTCACCCTTGTAGACTTCTCTGACAACCATTTTGCTTCCTGTGTTCCCTGGAGATACTGATAAATAGCTAAGTCATTTCACTCACATCCTCAGGTTAGAAGGAAAACAGTTTTTGGATGAGAATTCTCAACTTGGGAATCCTGTGCTTCCCTTTGATTTTTGTGGGGAAATTTTTAATAATACAAGAATAAATACTTTTATATTTTTCAAGTTTGGTTCTCTTTTTCATTTGTAAAATACAGATTTTTCACTTGTTTCTACTTAAGAATATAGAGACTGTAAATCTAAAGTATTGTTCATGATGATAAATTCAAGGATAATATTTTGGTTTCAAGCTTAATAGGTGTAAGGATTAGAGGAATTGAAAACCATCTTAGGCACCAACATCTCAGGTTGTAGAGAAAAGAATTCAGTGTCTATTGTTTACTATATATAGCTTTGTAAAATACAGTGGGGCCTTGACTTACCAGTGTCCCGACTAACGAGTTTTTCGAGATACGAGCCGTCTCTCGGCCGAGTTTTTGCTTTGAGTTGCGAGCTAAAATTCGGGTTACCAGCCAGCTTCAGATACCCCACCGATAGTTGGCGCAGCGAACGTCACAGTGAACGCCACAACATCAGCCCAGCATCACATGTCTCACTCGGTTTTCTTTGTAAAATTGATTTGACATACGAGTAATTTGAGTTACGAGCTCCGTCACGGACGAATTAAACTCCGTGGCCCCACTGTAGTTTGAAATCAGGAAGTGTGATGCCTCCAGCTTTGTTCTCCTTTCTCAAGATTGCTCTGGCTATTCAGTCTTTTGTGGTTCCATACACATTTTAGAGTCATTGTTTTTTTGTGAAAAATGCCATTAGAATTTTTATAGGGATTGCATTGAATCTGTATGTAGATTGCTTTGGGTAGTATGAACATCTTAACAACATTAATTCCTCTGATCCATGGCATGGAATATCTTTCCATTTGTATCTTCTTCAATTTCTTTTATCAGTGTCTTATAGTTTTCAGCGTTCACCTCTGTGGTTAAGTTTATTCCTAGATATTTTATTGTTTTTAATACAATTCTGTTTCTTAATTTCTCTTTCTGATAATTTGTTGTTAGTGTATAGAAACTAAACAGTTTTTCTACATTGATTTTTATATTTTTCAGCTTTAATGAATTTTTTTATTAGTTCTAACAGTTTTTTGGTAGAGTCTTTAGTAATTTGAATGTTAAAATTTTTTTTTTTTGGTTACCCCTCACCTAGGGATATTTTTCCATTGATTTTTAGAAAGAGTGGAAGGGAGAGGGAGAGACAGAGAGAGAAATATCAATATCAGAGAGATACATCAATTGGTTGTCTCCCAAATGCACCCTGACCAGGGATCGAGGTTGCAACTGAAGTATGTGCCCTTGACTGGAATCGAACCCAGGACCCTTCAGTCCACAGGCCCATGCTCTATCCACTGAGACAAACCAGCTAGGACGAGTCTTTTTTTTTTCTTAGTCCATCTAGCTAAAGGTTTGTCAAGTTTGTTGATTTTTTTAAAGAACTAACTTTTGTTTTCAATAATTTTTTTCTATTGTTTTTCTATTCTCTATTTCATTTATCGCTACTCTAATCTTTATTATTTCCTTCTGTTAGTTTTGGGTTTAATTTGTTCCTTTCTAGTTCCCTAAGTTTTAAAGTTATGTTGTTGATTTAAGATCATTCATTCTGCTTTTAAATGTAAGTATTTACAGCTTTATTTTTTCCTCTTAGCATTGCGTTTGCTGCATCCCATAAGTTTTGGTATAGCATTGATATTATTAATAATATGCTTACTATGAGTTAGATACTGTGCTTATGTCATATAATTTAATTTTCTAAACAATTCTGTTTTATAAAGGAGGAGATTATGTTTCCAATCTGTTTAAGCAACTTGAGCTAGTAATTAGCAGGGCTGGCTTATCACCATTAATACTTTTAGACATTTGCTTTCCTGATTTTGGAATTCCTTGCTCATGCTCATAGTTAATTTTATAGATGGAAGGATGACCAGAGTAAGTAGTATAATTATTTTTTCCCAACCAGTTTCCTCTTGCTTTTTTCTCATTATTCTTGAATAGGAGGGGGGAAAAAAACAGCATGGATTTTTTTAATTTTCAAAATTAATATAACCTATTTTGGTAATTAATTTCAAGGGAAAACAAGAGGACATTTAAAAAAAATATTTGTTTGACCAATGTGATTTAATGGTTAGGGTATTGGCTTTTGAGTTGGACAACAAAATTATCTTGAAAAAAAATCAATGAATCACTTTATCCTTTAATGATTAAATTAGGATATTTTTTACTGTTTTAGTTTTTCATGGGAAAATTGTGAAAATTATTATAATTGTTTCAATCATGTTTCCCATGTAAACAGACAAGAAAGATAGTTTCAAATTTTCAAAAATTTATTTTATCCTTTTAGAAAAATCATATTAGCATTTCTGAACAATGGCTAGATTATACCCTATCGCTGCATGAAGACTTTTGCCTGAATTTAAGTCTTTGAAAGAAATATTTCTCCTGAACAAAACACATTTTATATAAAAATAAGATGTCTTCTATTTTTTGAATGGTTACCTCTCATTTGGTGTGATTTTCTTAATGTTGCCACAATTACTTTTGTAGTGTATTTTGGGATCTCTACTGTGCAGCTCCAGAAAGACGGGAAACATGTGAACATTCAAGTGAAGCAAAAGCCTTCCACGATTATGTAAGTTCATATATAATTTTACTAATACTTGGTCGGTTTTCTTTGTAACTGTTGCTCTTGAAAAATGCATTGGGCCATCTGTTCTTTTCTTGTGGTGCTTAAGAAATTGTTGTTGTTGTTTTTTTCTTGAAAAATAGGCACATAACTTAAAAAGTAAATTACAAATGGGTTTTGAGTCTTGTTGAAGAAGCTCAAGGTAAGAGAGTAGTCCTAACTCCACACTATTAAGGGTATTTCTTATCTTTAAGCATGACTGACTTGTGAAATTTTACATTTATAAGAATTAAGTATTTATTTCACAAAGTCATAAGAATTATGTAAATGATATTGCACATAAGATTTTAAATATATATAGAAATAGTCTTCTCTTTTTGCTAATTTTCGTTACATATCATAAGAGCTTTGAAGTTCCTCAAGAACACGAAAATAAGAGTAATTGCAGCCATAAGGCTAAATATCCCTGTCACTGAATTCAGTCCCACAAGTAAAATTTATGTGAATTAAAGGAAATACAAGATAAGAGAGCAAAAGATTCTGTGCAAAAATGAAAATGTGATTTTTATAAAAGATTCTTAAAAAAGGGCGGTGGACTATCCTTTGCTGGGTGATGTATATTAAAATATTTTTAGAAGAACTAAATCGCAGATGTGATTTTTTAAAAATATTTTTATTTTATTGATATTGTTTAGAGAGAGAGGAAGGTAGAGGGATAGACAGATAGAAACATCGATGAGAGAGAAACATGAGAAACATTGATCAGCTGCCCTGACCGGGAATCGAACCACTGATCTCTTGGTTCATAGGTTGAGACTCAACCACTGAGCCACACCGGCCAGGTTGCAGATGTGATTTTAGAGAGTTGATGGTATCAGAGAGAAGAATAGTTTAAAAAAAAGAGAGAGAGAGAGATGAAGAAACAAGGAAGATTCTCTTGAGGGAAAACCGCATTTAATAGTGAAGAGACAGTATTGTGAAGGGTCTGGGAAAACAACTGTGTTCATAGAACTGACCATAAAAGGACAGATGGAGTTGGGGACTAAGGAAACCCAGTTTCCTTGGTTTGGAGGAAGTTGTTGGGGGCTGCAGCCTAAGGAAATACCTTATAGTGAGTATCTAAAACTTAACCAAGGGGATACTAGTTTAGTTGGTAGAAGGGAAGCATCAGTGGGTAAGTAGCCTTAAAAAACAGAACCAGGCCTCAAAAGGGAAAAAGACCTTGTTCTTTCAAAGGAAATACTTCAGCATTAGACTGAAGAGTAGAAATAGCCAGCAGAATTATAACCCCAGAAGTAGCACAACGAAGAGTAGGCAGACCTAAGAGAAGTGAAAATCCTGGGCACCTCGCAGGGACTGTGCAATGCTTGAAATGTTTACTAAACTGATTTAAGTGTGACTGCTCCTGATTACCTAATCAGATATGGATTGTATTTACTAAGCTTGCAGTGTATTAAACCATAGTTCTCTAGGACAAGATGAGTGAAACATGCTACTGCATATAAAGAAAAAGGAGAGAAAGGCAGATAAGCAGGGTCCGGGACACACTATCTGAACTACCTCGTTTTCCTTTTTTACCCTTGGCTGATGGCAGAAGTAAAGCAGAGAGCCAACCAGGAGGAGTATAAGGAACCAGGCTAGAGGAGGGTACTTGGTCTCATCTCTCTCTTACACCAGGAAAGACATGCCTAGATTTGGCCTGCCAGTGGTGCAAAAAGTTTTTTAAATACCCACCAATTTTGACAACTGGATGGAATTATTTTTATTAGTTACAGACTGGATTTTTTTTTAAGTAGAAGAAAAAAAAAATCAAGCAAAGCGCACACGCCATTCCTTGACCACCAGTGTTCTACTCTAAAGGACATATATTTGTGGATCTATATTTTTTTAAATATATATTTTTTATTGATTTCAGAGAGGAAAGGAGAGGGAGAGAGAGATAGAAACATCAATGATGAGAGAGAATCATTGATCAGCTGCCTCCTGCATGCCCCCTGCTGAGGATCGAACCCGCAACCGGGGCATGTGCCCTGACCTGGAATTGAACCATGACCTGATTCATAGGTTGACACTCAACCACTGAGCAACACCAGCCAGGGTGTGGATCTACATTTTCAGAAATGAACTATCTCAGTACTCTTGCAAAATTCCATTGTATGGAAAGATGCACCCTGCTGTTCATCATGGAAATCTTATAGGGACTACAGAATTAATTTAGCATCTTTTTCTTAGAAGCATTATGTAAACCATCACCGATGTTGTCATTGCCATCATCATCATCATCATTATCATAATCATTTTGCATTTATAAGGCACTTCCAATATTTCAGAGAGTATTCATACTTATTAGCTTTAAAAACCTACTTCAGAATTTCAAGTTTTTGAAATGAGCATTGACCAGAAGTAGGAATGAAATTAGAGTAGATTTTAAAGGAAGAACAAATTCTTATCACGTAATTTGGTCCTAAAAATATGTAGTTTTAAAAAAGGTCAGTATTTTGTTCTTTAATTTATTATTAACATTAACACATGTTTTATCAGATTTTTATAATTTTATCTTAAATATTAATTTGAAAAGATTTAATTTATTCTTAGATAGCATTTTATTATACTTTTAAGCCAATTTATTTTCACTTGTAATACATCTCCAAAGAAATTTTTTTTAATGGAGGTTGGTAAAAAGATAGAGTTTGACTTGCATAATTTTTATTACAATTGGATTTTCAGAAATACATTTGTCTTTTGTAGCACACTTTTATGGCAATTTCCATGAGTTGGATTTTCTGAATTCTTAATAGACAATTTCTGAAAATTACCAATATAACTCATTTTTAGCATGTAGATATAGAAGTGTGAGGACCCAGTGAAGAAAAGGAGAAATAGGAACACAATAAGATTTTGGTAAAATTCTAGAACATTATATTCCTGTATTAGGGTCCATTGGGAAACATTTATTAATAGTAATTAATATGTATACCGAATGAATTTCAAGGAAGTTCTCAAGGAAGCCTACTGAAAAATATTTTTTTCATTAGCTGTATCTTTAAAGTAAAAAATAAAAAATACTTGCATGTATAAATTATGCTATGTTTAAAAAGTAGTCTTGTTATTTTATAGTCTTTATCTATAAGATTGAATGGATAATGAAAGATAAACTATAGTTTTTTGAAGAAATAGTGGAGGTATAATGAAGTAAATGATGAATAATCCTTTTAATAAAAAGTAAGCTCAACTATTAAAGGGATTATCTTTTGATATTGACATTATGTATTATTTCTATAGATATGTAACTGATATTTTTGTGTTTTCCAAATATTTATAGTTAATATTAATTTTATATTTAGGAAAGTTACTTTAAAGCAGATTAAAATTTACATTTCATTGACTTCCAATTTCTCTTCTGAAATTAGAAAATGAAATACTTAGTAAAATAAAATTTAAAATTGTGGTGGTCATATGTTTTCATACCACCATGTTCTCTACGCATAGTCATTTAGCATTTCCCATGAAAGATTTTTTTATGGTATGTATACATATTAAAAGAGATATCTAAAAATTTAATAGATATAATTTTGAGTCAATCTATAATTTAATAACCTTTTTTGGATAATTATTATCCCAGAAACATTTGTGGCTTTTGGTTTTTAGAAAAAAAATTTTTTTTATTTGTTTTCTGAACATTGCTTCTTTATAATGGATTTTTGTTACTTTATTATTTTACTAGAGGCCCAGTGCACTAAATTCATGCAAGAGTAGGCCTTCCTTCCCCCAGCTGCCAGCACCGGCTTCCCTCTGGCACCCAGGACCCTGGCTTCCCTCCAGCACCTGGGACCCAGGCTTCCCTTGCAGCCCTGGCTTGGTCTGGAAGGTCATCTGGAAGGATGTCCGGAATGGCATCTGGTCTAATTAGCATAGACCCTTTTATTATTATAGAAGCTTTGCCAAATAGTTACAGATGCAGTGTTAATATCCTTTTCCTTGAAAAATCATCTTGTTCATACTTATTATGAGAAAAAAGATAAAACATTTAAGATGGGTAAAACTTTGATCATCTTTCATTTATATTGTAAAATATGTTCACTTAAATAGTATTTAGCAACTGTATGCAGTGCTAAATGTAAAATAATAGCACATGTAGAAATCAACAGTTAACAGTGGAAAAGGATGCAGTTTTGGATGACAACGCTGTAAAAAACACAAGGAAATGATTACTATACAAGTCAGGATAATGGTTGCTTGGGAAGTAGGAAGAGGTTAGGATTGGGATGGGGCTCATGGAAAGAAAGGGCTTCTGAGAAGGTTGGCAGGGTTCTATTTTTCCTGGCTGCCATGGTGGTTACTTTATAATAACCAAGTGTTTGTTTTATAAAATGTCACAGTGCCATACATTTATTTTGTGTGGTTTTCTAGATTTGTTTTTTATTTTAAGATAATGAGTTTTAAAACACAGTTAAGATGATTAACTTTAGAAAAAGAATATGCACAGTGGTTTTTAATGTGTTTCCAGGCATCGTTGTGGTTCATCCTAGAGAACTGATGGCAGAAAATCTAGGGATGATCTCCAAACAAATCTGTGTTTGTTTCTTCTCTGTTATTACAGAGACTGTAAAGTATGTCTATTTGCTGATTTTCCAGAGGGGAGTAAAATCAGAAATGTTGGCAAAAGATTTAATAATTAAGAATTTACTTTCTAAGAGAATATAGAGACTTTACTATAGAACAATTATTTTACCCTATTATTTTTATCCTGAGTGTAAACCAAGTTCATCCAAGATAGAAATTTGTTGCTATCTATTATAATTAAAAAGTAAACCATTATTTCAAGTGATTAAAAATAATACCTATTAACATGTAAAGTTTATTGGACTAGCTTTTCTTCCCATTGTCGTATTTTTATTTCACTCTGAAACCGCAGGCATTGCCTTTATGTGGAGTTAAATTATGTTTACTAGATTTTTTTTCTGCTACAGCTTAACATAGAGTTGTTTTATTTAACAATTTAAGTT